GCTGCTGCTGCTGCTGCTGCTGCTGCTGCTGCTGCTGCTGCTGCTGCTGCTACTGCTACTGCTGCTGTTATACTTACAGTGTCCATCACATGGACAAATACGTGATTTAAGCAACATATTGAATTACGTAACTGGACAAACTCGCCGTTCGTGAATATAGAGCCGCTGGGATCGCGACGTCGGTGTGACGCATGCGTACAACGCGACCAGATTTTTCCTCTTCGACCTTTACCAGTTAAACGCTACCAGTTAGTAATAATACGGCTTTTTGTGTACAATTCCCTTCCGCCCGCACTCTTAAATTGCGACGAATATCATCACACATTGATTAAAGTAAAGTGCTTTCGAAAACTTGGCAAACATGGCTGACGTTATTAGTTCTTTTCACAGGCGGTGACATCATAACAAAATAACCGCCCTCCCACCTTTATCAATGTGCTAGCGAAGAGATCTTAAGAATCTCTGTGATGTGGGAAAACGTCACGTGCGTGTGGACATACTCGGTCCGTCCGACGGCAGCATGCAGCTCAAATGTCGTCTGCGCGGCGGCGGCAGCAGCAGCAACAGCAGCAGCAGCAGCAGCAGCGGTAGCAGCAACAGCAGCAGCAGCAACAGAAACAACAACAGCAGCAGCAGCAGTAGCAGCAACAGCAGCAGCAGCAACAGAAAAAACAACAGCAGCAGCAGCAGTAGCAGAAACAGCAGCAGCAGCAACAGAAACAACAACAGCAGCAGCAGCAGTAGTAGCAACAGCAACATCAGCGGCAGCGGCAGCAGCAGCGGCGCCGGCGGGGATGCAGGCAGTGCATCCGGCAGTACATCCGGCGTGCGTGACGCAGCACGGGTGCAGGGAATCACGGTGCGGTGACAGGGTGGCGACAACACGCCGAGCGTCCTGATGCGTCACACACCCTGTCGCTGTCGCCTCGCTTTCATGTACGCGCTGCAGCCGCCCGTGATGGTGGGAGAAGGTGAAGTCGAGGATGGGGTGGGAGAGGGGAAGAGCAGAAAAAATTTAGGAGTGACGGGGGAAGAAGAAAAAGAAGAAGAGGTATACGAGGGGAGCGGGAGGAGGAGAAGGAGGAGGAGGAGAACGAGGAGGAGGAGAAGGAGGCGGAGGCACCTGAAGATTCTTAAGCCATGAGAGAATATGTATTACTGGGGTTTAAAACATTTTGTCGCGTGATGTTTTTTGTTCATTAACTTTCTCTTTCGCTCTCTCTGCTCTCGTCCTCTCTCTCTCCTCGTCTCTCGTTTCGTCTCTACTCTTTACTCTCCCTCGTCTTCTCTCTCTCTTTCTCTCTTCTTTCGCTCTCTTCCTCTCTCCTTCTCTCTTCCTCTTCTCTCTCTCTCGCTCTTCTCTGTCCTCTCTCTCTCTCCGTGTCTCTTTCTCTCTCTCTCTCTTTCTCTCTCGCTACTCTTCTCTCTCTCTCTCTCTCGTCTCTTTTTCTCTCCATCTTCTCTCTCCCTATCGTTCTATCTCTCTTCTTTCTCCTTGCTCCTCTCCTCGAGCTCTCTCTCTCTCATCTCTCTCTTCTCCTTTCTCTCTCTTCTCCGCTCTCTCTCTCTGGTCTCTCTCTTTCTCTTCTCTGCTCTCTCTTTCTCCTTTCTACTTCTCTCTCTCGCCTTTTTTTTTTCTCTTCTCTCTCTCCTCTCTCTCATCGCTCTTTCTTGTCTCTTGACTTCTCTCTGTCGCTCTCTTCTCTTTTTTCTCTTCTTCTCTCCTCTCCTCGTCTCTCTTTCGCTCTTCCTCTCTCTCTCTGCTTTCTCTCTTTTCTCTCTTTCTCTCTATCTCTCTCATACTCTCTGTTCGCTCGTCTTTCCCCAATCTCTCTCTTCTGTTCGCTCTCTCTCTCTCTTTTCTCTTCTTTCTCGCTCTCTCTCTCTCTCTCTCTCTCTCTCTGTCGGCTCTCTCTCTCTCTTCTCTTTTCTCTCTCTCGATCTCTCTCTCTCTCTCTTATCTCTCTATCTCTCTCTCTTCTCTCTCTCTCTCTTCGCTCTCTCTCTCTCTATGTCGCTCTCCTCTTTCTTTTCTCTCTTTCTTCTTTCTCTCTCTCTCTCTCTCGCTCTTCTCTTCTCTCTCTCTCTATCTCTCTCTCGCTCTCTCTTTTCTCTCTTCTCTCTCTTTCTATCTCTCTCTCTGTCTTCTCCTCTCTCTCTCTCTCCGTTCCTTTTTTTCTCTCGCTCTCTCTCTGTCGCGTCTCTCTCTTTTTTTTTCCGGGGACTCTCTTTCTGTTCCTCTCTCTCTCTCTTTCGCTCTCTCTCTCTCTCTTTATCTCTCTTTCTTCTCTCTTCTCTCTCTCTGCTCTCTCTTTTCGCTCTCTCTCTCTCTGCTCTCTCCTGTCGCTCTCTCTCTCTCTTTCTCTCTTTCTCTCTCTCTCTCTCCTCTCTCTCTCTCTGTCGCTCTCTCGTCCTCTTTCTGCTTTCTCTCTCTTCAGATCTTCTCTCTCTCTCTTTCTCTCTCTCTCTACTCTCTCTTTTCTCTGCTCGATCTCTCTTTCTCTCTGTCGCTTCTCTCTTTTCTTTTCGATCTTTCTCTCTCTTATCTCGCTCTCTCTCGCCGTCTCTCTCTCTCTCTCTCTCTTGGAAACGTTTGTCTCTCTCTCTCTCTCTCTCTCTCTTGTCGCTCTTCTCTCTCTCTCTCTCTTTCTCCTCTCTGCTTCTCTCCTCTATCTCTCTCTTCTGTCGCTCTCTCTCTCTTTTTTTCTGCTCTCTCTGTTCTCTCTCTCTCTGCAGCTCTCTCTCTCTCTTTTTTCTCTCACTCTCTCTCTCGTCTCTGTCGCTCTCTCTCTTCTCTCGTCTTTCTCTTCTCTTTCCCTCTCTCTGTCGCGTTCTTCTCTTCTCTCTCTCCTCCCTTCTCTCCCTCGTCTCTATCTCTCTCTCTCTCTGTCGCTCTCTCTCTCTTCGTATCTCTGCTCGCTATCTCTCTCTTCTCTCTCTCTCTCTCTCTCTCTTTTTCTTGCTCTCTCTCTCGCTCTCTCTCTCTCTCTCTCTACTCTCTCTCTTAGTCTCTTCTCTCGCTTGGTATCTGCAAGCATACCAGAGTGCCTTTAAACAACACGTCCTCTAATCTCATAATTCGTAGTTTCCCACCGGCATTAAATTTCCAGCACAGTGGATTTAACGCACGCGGCCTACTCCGCGTCCTTTACTTTATGGTCAGAATATTTGTTTTCTGCTAAAAATACGTTAATGAAAAGAATGCTCCAGCTAGCGCGAGTGCCGGATCCGGCAGATTCACGCGCATCGCGCACGAATGCGGTCCGATTGATGGAAGAGTCACGGCTCGTGTGACCTATCCGCAAAGCATGCAAACACGAGGCATTACGCTCATCATCGGCTGCGCGGCGTGCTGTCATATTACACGCAACGCATGTAGCTACACCGCGCGTAAGCTTGCAGCTGCGAGGCGTGCGGGATGGAGTGGATTACAGATATCTGCCGTTCGGGTGGTTGGATTATTCGCGCGCGAGTTGGCGCCGCCGTTTATTCATTTGTAGCTGCAGGACGAGCGACGTGGCTTTGGCCGATCTACTGCGGATCTCTTCGCTGTGTGTGTGTGTGTGCTGTGTTAGCGCTGGTGCGTGCGCTGCCGTGCGCCGGCGCGCGCGGCGACGTGTGTTCTGTGTGTGTGTTGTGTTGTGTGCTGCCCTTGTGTGTGTGTGTGTGTGTGTCATGATGGTGGCTGATGTTCGTGTTGCTGCAATATGAGGCGAAATATTGTGCTAAAAGCGGGAGGGGTGTGGGGTGAGAGAGGAGGAGGAGATATTTGCTGAAATAGGGGTAAAGAGCGGGAAATGAACATATAGGACAGATATGAAACGAGCGTAGCGGAGATGGAGAGAGAACGAAAGGGGGAGCAGATCGGAGGAGAGAGAGGAAGAAGAGAGAGGTTAGAGAGAGGAAATGGGGAGAGAGAGACGAGAGAGAACCAGTGATAGACTAGTAGAGGAAAGGAACTATGTTGTTGGGGCGGAAATGAAACGTTGGGGAAAGAGAGGTGCGCCCAGCAGTGAAAATTAAAGAAGAAGCATTAGAAAGCAGCGGAGAAGAGAGAGAGGAGAAGAGAGTTAAGGACAGTAGCGAGTGAGAGATAGAGGGATTATGGTCGTTACAGCCAGGGAAGCGTATGTCGATAATGGCCATGTGTTTTATTGCAGTGAGTTTCCTCGCAAGTAAACCGTAAAGTCATGCGGCGTTTTTTGCTTGATTCCGATCGAAACTGTTATAGAGCTGCCCTGCGTTGGTTTTCGGGTGGTGTCGTCTGTTCAACGATGACGTGGCAGGAGCGTGTCGTGGTCTGGGGTGGGGGGGGATCACGGTACAACCATCGTCGGCCGCTTACGCCTCTCTACCCTCAGCTTTGCCCCGCGTGCGCTATTGGTTTTAATTCAGTACACGATCGTCCATCGTCTCGTCGCATGCGTCTTTCATCGAGCTCGAATTTAAATATTTTGATTACTCTTCCTGTGCGCGGTAGTGCGCTGCGGGCACCATCGACACCGTCGACCCTGAGTAATTAGTCGTCGCTCGAACCTGGACGTGCAAATGACATGCTTCCAACAACAAGAACGAATGCAATCGAGTGCGGACATTCCTATGCGAGGCGGGGTCATGACGTCATCAATTGATGTTGTGCTCCGCAGTTACTACCAAATCTCGCGTTCCGTGCCGCCAAATTAGCCCACACACCACACATTCGACTCTTGATCCTGCGTCCCTAGCGGGCCGGACTTCTGGCGCGTGAATTCGCGCAAGGCAGACGCCGCGTAAGAATCGAATGCCGTCAACGGACAATCGGGCGGGCGGCAGGCGGTTGCAACGAAAGCCGGCCGGCGGCGGCGGCGGCGGACGGCGGCGGAGTTACATAGTGGAGCTCTGCCAATCCGGGCCGAATTCACGCTAGAGCTCGACACGTTTACGACCGCACGTAGTCGTCATCAGCGCGCATGCGGCGTACGGCACACCGGGCTCGTCATTGCAAGCCCTCCAGCTGGCCATGGAAGCCTTCTCCTCGATCTCCGCAGGCTTGATGCTGATGGGAACGCACCGAGAGGATGTTATGAGCAGGACGGTCTGATGCTGTGCTCGCGCGTACGCACGGCGAGGTCTTCTAATGGACAACTATATACTACTCGCGATCCCGAGCATGAGCCCTGGCTGCACACGCCGTAATGTCGGATAGATGCCACCATCCTCGCTCAGTTGTTGCTATGTTGCCGCTTTTATGTCATTGCTCGACCTGCAGCTATGTATCTCAGACTGTGAGTAGGAGAGAATCTCCGAGAAGAGCGGGAGGAGAGCACTCATAGCGGCTGTGAGAGAGAAGGAGGGAGGGGGAGATGCCACAATGAGACTGACTGAGAGAGACGGAGGAGGGAGGGATGGGGAGCGACTAGAACTGAGAGGCGTGGGAAGAAAAGAATATTGAAGATGAGAGAGAGAGAGAGAAGAAACGCTAGCGGAAGAGTCGCATTATATAAACAGGGGTTTCTGCAACGGTTTGGAGAGGGGAGTAGATTGGATGGATGCAGAAGTGTGAGGCTGTATTACCGAGGCGGGACTGCAAGCATCGAACTGAAAAGAGGGCATTCGACACGTAATTTTTATAACGTAAGCGGGACGCAGCTGTGCTTTCTCTCCTCTCCTCTCTCCTCTCCCTCTCTCTCTCTCTGCTCTTTCGCCTTCAGTGAGAGAGAGGTAGATAGAAGAAGAGAGAGGGGGGAGAGAGAGACAGAGCGGGAGAGATGGAGAGAGGAGCGAGAGAGAGAGCGAGAGGGCGAACGAGAGAGGAGAGAGAGAGAGAAGAGAGCATGCGAAAATAGAGAGATAAAGAGAGCAAAGACAGAATAGGGGGGGGGGGGATAGAAGAGAAAGCATGGGAGAGAGGAGAGAGCGGGGGGCTAGAGATGACAAGACGTGAGGTTCGCCCTTACTAGTTGTTTAGTTTTTTGCCTGGCTGTCGTGTGAAGATATTTGCATTTAGTTTAGGCCGCGTTGCGACAGTAATATGTCCTTTCAAAATCTCGGCAAGGCTGGGGTTAAAAAACCCATAGCGTGTTTAAAGCTTTTGCCCCATTAGTTTTGCCTGTTATGTAGGGCTAATTGTGCTGACGGCGCGCGCGGCGTGTGGCCAATGTGTAGTGCGTGCCGCATGGGGGGCGTAGTGTGTGTTGGTCGTGATGCGGTGTGGTGTGTGTGCGGCGCGCGTGTGTGTCTGTGTGTAGCGAGGATCGTGAGTATTCATATGTTGTGCGATGCTGTTATTGGTTACGGTATCATTGGCCAATAAGCGTCCAATAGGAATATGTAATTATATTACCTTGAAAATAAAAGTTACGGAAACTCTTCCCATCTAAGTATTTACGAACGTGAGCAAGAGGACATGATGGCATGCCTGAGTTCTGTCATGCCCTCCGTCCTCCCATTGTCCACCTGTTATAGACCGGATCCACGGTCCATGCGCCTAGCCTTGAACTTTCGTCTATTGCATCGACACCGCGTATATTGCGACCGATTTAATTCGAACTCTCTTTCAGCCACTCCGGTCCTTCTATCCTCGCTTACTACCTTACTTGGACTTCACTCTCATTCCGCCTCCCTTCATTTGTGAAAACTTCAACCGCGATTTGCTTCTTCCGTGTCTCTCTATCTCTCTTTCTCTCTACTTTATTCTTTCATCTCCTCACCGATCACAAAACACGTCCACAGCAGCGCGACACACTGGGGCTGGACGCCCTCCTCCTCTGTTCTACACTTCATCGTAGCAGGTTTCCGGTACCTCATATTCTCCTCTCCAGCTCTCCCTTGGTGGATCTCTCATAGACTGTTTATCCGGCTTAGTTGCGGGTTTTGCGCAAAATCGTAATCGACGGTCGCCATATGTCACGATGAGTTTGGCGTTGGGCTAACAATAGACGGCAATTGCTTCTATAGGCCACTCTCAAGTCTGGTTGGATATTATGTTTCTATGCTACCGAGTGAGTCGCCCGTGATGTCACGTGTACGTCAGTGTGTAGTCGTGGCCTGACCAATCACGCCGCCATCCAGTATGCTATGAGGCAATACATTAATATTTGACGCCGACAAATAGCCGCGCGCGGTAAGGGCCGACGATTCTTCTTGATGGTTGATGGGTCGTTCTCGATCCCATCTGTTTTAATTTTTTTTTTTTCTTTTTTCTATCTTTATCATTTGTGTGTTGTGTTCGTGTTGTATTAGTGTTATTAAATTTAATTAGGGTTAGGGTTAGGGTGAGCGTGAGGGTTAGGGTTAGGGTTGCGGTGAGTGGATAGGGTTAGGGTTGGTTAGGATAGTTAGGGTTAGGGTTTAGGGTTAGGGGTTCTTGGGTTTTTCGCATCAGGTTATGTGCTGATGTAGCATCAGCAGCTAGGGCTGAATGAATTCACTGTATTCGAGTAAGTCCGAGGTCGTGCGTGGAGTTACACTGACGCACCGCGAACACGTCGGTGGCATAGAAACATATATTTCACCCTTCAATGGCTCCCTAAAAGCGAGAAGGTTCTTCTGTATATACTATATATACTATATATCTATTA